CACTGGATCCAGCTCCTTTCTCCAGTCGATCCAGCACTGTGTTCAAAGCCAGGAGAAGTAGACCTTATCTGTCCAGTGATGCTGGCAATGCTTTAGATGTTATCTGGTGCTCAGGGTGGCTATCCTCGACCCAGCCAGGAAGGAAGGATTTGCAACTAACTTTAAAAAAAAAAAAAAAAAGTGGGGGTGGGGTGGGAAATGGCTCAGTCAGTAAAGCGCTCACTGTAAACCAGGCATGGAAGCTTCTGCACTAGGGAGGCAGAATACAGGTTACCTGGATCTCACTGCCCAGGCAGCCTAGCTGAATCAGTGAGGTTCAGGGATTGAGGAAGCCACCTAACACTGACCTCTGGCCTCCAGACTCACTTACACGTGAGGCATCCCGAATTTCCAGTCAGTATAATAACAGTGTTAGTGGATTGCCATAAAAGCTCCCAGGATCGTGCCATTTATTTTTGGCAGGCCTTTGTAGTTTCGGGCCCTCTTAGGCACAGCGTGCTGCCCACGGTGGTGAAGAGCTCTTGGTGCAAACCTACTTGTGTGCTCACCCTTAGGTCAGTGCTGTGAGGGCATTGGCAAGCAGAAGCTGGCCAGCCTGGGCCCAATCTGAGTCTGTGGCTCACAGCTGTGTCAGCTAGGGCACGTCATTTCCCCATTCAAATGGTTGGGTAATAATAGTAATCACCTCTGATTGTTGAGAGAAGCACGTGCGATCAAACGCACGGGAGTTTGAACTTAGAGCACAGATAGCAGACGATAGTGATAATGACTCCTGCATTTACCACGTGTACACTCATGATGGAGCAACTTGCCTCAAGGAAACCAACTTCTGGGAAAAGCCATGAGAAGAGAAGAAGAACGAAATCCCTTCAAATAGTTCACATGCTTGTGTGTGTGTGTGTGTGTGTGTGTGTGTGTGTGTGTAGAAGCGTTGATCTCAGCCTGATGTAAGGGACACTCAAACCCTCAAACCTATCCTAGAACTTTCCTCATAAATGCAAGACTTTCTGATGCAAAATTTATTTCTCCCTTTTATTTGTTTATTCGACAACATGCAACATGACTATCACTGCAAAGTGCTGGACTAGATATTATAGACCATGAAAACAAAATCACCATGGCTACTTATAATTCTTTACAGTTTATAAAAGAAATAACACACTTATGCAAATAGATAGTAGAAGGTGTAAATTGCATAAGAAAAACCCAGACAGTAGGAAATAAGATTAGCTTGAGAATAAACTAAGTTTATAATATAATAATCTTATAATAAAAAACTAAACCCCAAATTAATTCCCTGAGAGAGATGTCCCCAAGAGTAACTGATTCAGAGAAGCAAGACTACCAGAAAGTAGAAGGACTCAACAGGTCAAAGGTCAAGTACTCAGTATAATGGAGGTCAGGGCTGGAAGGTACTTGTGTGTGGAGGGCTGAACAGGAAGCCTGGCAGCAGTCTGGGGGAGGGGGTCCTTGAATATTGTTGAGGTGCACAAAGCTTCAAATTTCTCCATTCCCTGCTTTTACTGGCACCATCCCTGTAGCACTAGTAACTTCGAGTAAGCTTTACTAAAACTAAAGGTATTTTTTTTAATCTTATATAGCATTTTTGGTTGAGAGGTTAAGGACATTTAACTGCTCTTTTGGAGGGTGTGGGTTCAGTTCCCAGCACCCACAGCCGATGGCCCACAACTGTCTAAGATTCCATCTGTGGGATATCTGATGCCTTCTCTTGGCCTCTGCAGGCACTCCACTCCTGCAGGGTTGATATGTATGCCCAGGTACATGGACATACCTGTACAACTAAAATGAACAAATATTTTAAAGATCTTGCTTTTAAAACATCATGCTTTCTATGGTACCATTATTATAATTAGGATAATATAAGGTGGTTGGCTTTTTTTTTTTTTTTTGGTTCCTTTAGTTCTCGGGAGGTCAACTAAGGTTAACTGGAAATACAAGCTTGTCTTAAATCTTCAGAGGAATAGCTGAGTTTTGCAATGTCAGTCTAGAAATACCGTCATGTGAAAACATGGACGGCTTTGAAAGGAGAAGTCAATTAGATCTAACAGAAAAAAAAAAAAAGACTTTGACATGTGCAAACAGCTACTTCAGGAATGATTGGGAATGAGCTCAACGGCTGGGTGTATCTGTTTGAGTTGTCAGCCTCTCCCCAACTTTTTCATTAAACACCCAGCTAACCTTCGGTTGCCCTCTTAGGATTTAATCTCGGTGCAATTTGAAGCCTTCCAGAGTCACCAAGCAAAAACTAAGTACTACCCTTAAAAAAGGCTTTTGTTCACTATTAGGACACTCCATTCCTAATGACAAAGCTACAGATGCCCTTAAGTGACAGGTTGGAGTTTTAAGTCATTGACTCTATTAGATGGTGTTAATGACAATAAATTTGTAGCCAACTCCTATGTATCTACATTGGAGAAAGAAGAAAGTGTCCTAGAACTTGGAATGTCAACATCAACAGGAAAAGTGTGTATGATGAAAGAAGCAAGCCCTCATCTCCCACACAAGTGTAACTTTGGGACAGCTGCAGGGCTTGGTTTCAGTAACACAGTTAATGTTTATGTTGTGCTGGATTCCTCACCCCTCTCCCCAGCATGTAAGTCATTACACAAGCTCTCTTCTGACCAGTTCCTGTATCTCCTTCCTCAGTGTGCTGTCCATACACATGTCACATAAACATCCTTGGCTCTTGGCCCACATCTAATTAGTGGGGATCTCTAGAGACAAGGTCCTGGAATCATAGGGAAGAGTCTTTCTTTGTTACAAGCACGTAAGTGACTTATGTCACTTTTCCTCTTGCTGCTCCCTTGGTTCCCATCTTCATAGAGGGCTTATACTCCACCATGGAACTGGTGTTCTCCACAGGTCTGTGGTCGAAACCTTAATCCAGTGTTTTTATCAAGTTGCACAAAACTCAACTGTAGATAGAACTTGCCAGACTATTATTACAAGCCAAAGATTTTCAGTGCCCAATCACAATAGGCACTTTTTCTTTTAAAGTTTATTAATTTTCTCCTCCTTCATTTGGGTTTGCCTTTTCGTGGGAGAGGAGGACTTCTCTCTCACATGTTGAGGCAGAGATTATTAGAGCAATGCAAGTTTGGAGGAAATCTTGCAAAATAGTTTCATTTAAACTGCTGAATTTAAGCTTCTCCTATAGAAATCCAGGTGAGGACGTATTTTGGGTGCTGTTCTGAGAAGTTTTTTGTGTCACTTTGACACAAGCTAGAGTCATCTGAGAGGAGGGAATTTTAGCTGAGAAAATGATGCCCAAAGACTGTCCTGTAGGCAAGCATTTTCTTATTTAGTGATCGACGTGAGAGGCTAGTCCGTTCTGGGTGGTGCTATCCTTCCTTGAGCTGCTGGTGGTGGATTCTCTAAGAAACAGGCTGAGTAAGAGATAAGGAGCAAGCCAGTAAGAAGCACTCCTCCATGGCCTCTGGGTCTGCTCTGACTCCAGAAACCTGCCCTGTTGAGTTTTTGCCCTGACTTTCCTCAGTGATTAATTGTTACCTGTAAGTAGAGGCAAAGTTGCTTTTTGTCATGGTGTTTCAGCACAGTAGTAGACACCTAACTCTGATAGATGCCAACAACTTACTCTTTAAATACTATGTTTGAGCTTGTGTTTAAGTCTACCCCAAGTATTATACTACATTGCATTCATATTAACCAGCTATAGTTGCAGACTGATCACTGTGCTTTAGGAAAGAAATTGAACTATAGGATACAGCATATTAAAGAAGAAACGCTCTACAACTGAGTGGAAACCAACCATGGCTCCTACATGTGGAAGTCTTAAGTCTCAGCATGTTCTCATCTGCATGGAATCACAGAACTAGACATTGCCTCAAAGTCAGTTTTTTTTTTTTTTTCTGGTGAGACAGGAATCAAATGACTCCTATTTCATGGAGTAATTGTAAGAGTCAATGTAAGTAATGAAAATCCCGGCTCCCAATGACATATCTGTGAATTATTAGTAGTGGTAAGAAGAAGTCATAACTTGATCCACCATTCCTAAAACATATTTCCTTCATTTTTTATGTCTTGTTCCTTTAAAAATAAGACCTGCATCTCCGGCCCTTGGCTTTAGGATTTAGGACCTTGTCCTTTTTTATTTGCTGTATCTGGTTCCTTTGCAACCCCAGCTCCAGTGCAGACATTCAGATGACACTGCCACCACCAAGAGGTTGTTAGAGGGAACAAAAAGTCAGACACACCTGTGATGGGCCACACAACATCATGATGTAGCAGGCTTGGAGCTGCATATGTATCTGTCAAAAATACTATTCTTTTTCTTCTTTTTAGGATAAGATGAGGACCACCACTGCTATTTGATGTGTCAACATTATCTTCCTCTCTCCCTTTCTGGGTAGCCTTAGAGTCCACAGTGGATTCAAATGTCTGTTTCTCCATAATATTACCCCAAGACCTCCTATACGTCGCAGCCAAAGATCTACAGAGCAAGTGACTACCTACTAAACATATTGTAAATGAATAGGAATATGTTTTTGCATTTTATTACATCCTTCTGTGTGAAAAATTCTGTATTGTATCCCTTAAACATGAATTATTTTATTCGTGAGATTCTTACAAAATTAATATGAAATGTACAACCCCTGGACTTACTACAAAGTGAGAAGTTATTTCGTTTTTAATTTTGGAAATTCTGCATAAGTAAAAAACTCTTACTATAGTTTGAAAAGTAGAAATGCTGGAAGTAGGAAGGGATCACTCAGCGTGCTTGTGTGTCTATTACAGAATCTCTTGATAATGTAAAAGCCATTAGGTTGGGGGACATTCTGAATTTCTTTTTTCCTTTTTCACGCAAGCATTTTTCAATGAGATTCTTTTACAATATAGCAAGCAATTGGAAATATGTGACGTTCATTTAAAAACTGCATTTCTTTAACATTTAATCTGGGATATGGTCTCATTATAAATCATCCTACTAACATACTGTTTTTCCTTTTTTGTAATTTCAGGTAGATGAAATATTTATAGAGTCAACCTTGAACAAACACCATGTCAACGACCATGTAGTCAGACTAACGTATGTATATTTGGGCAAGGGTGTAGTTGCAAGGCTGGAGGGACAAAGGGAAAGAACACAGGGCCCTCCATATAATGTGTGTCTCTAGACCGGATACTGGGCTCTTCATAAATATTGCTGCTGCAATAGTTTCTCTCAATGGACAGGGCTAAATTCATCCTGAAAATCAAGATGCTGAGGTGTGAGGAGGAGGATGGTGATATACTGAATGTTCCCCAAGAGACATTTACAATCAGTAGAACTGGCACTCAAACCCTCCCCATTGACTGTGAGGCCTGGAATCCACCTTAATTCACAGCCATAGGTAAACCCTGGCCATGTCTTTGCATGCATCAAGTTCTATACTTCTGACAGATATGGCGCTTCAAAAACATCAAGGAAAGAAAAGTTTGCTACAAAATGGGATCATAAGTTTTACCTGTAACAAAGACCTAGTGACAGGCGACATGCCAGAACCAAAAGATGATCGTGTTGTAATAGATGCTCCCTTTTGTTTGGATGGGGAGGAAAGACTCAGATCAGTTGCTGAAATTGCTCAGAGGTTGAAACTTTGTTATTTTAAAAATCACAGAGCAGGATGGGCACAAAACCAGGAGTTTGTATGACTCATGGCAAAGAGAAAAAGGAAACTCAAACAAAACTGTAATTATGAAACCCACTACTTTATACAATAAATGTATATGAAAAAGCTTGATAAACACAACTAAAATATTTAGTTGAATTTATTTGAAGGAATGGGTGGTGATCACTTTCTTACCAAGAGACTAATGCATGATTGAACACTTTCTAAAGATCTTTACTTCTACTAACTCATGACTTCCACAAGGAGTTTTTTAAGATTTATTTTTATTGCATAGTAGTTAGTGTTTCTGTCTGTCTGTGGACATGTTCACCAATCCTGTCCCGTGGAGACCAGAAGAGAACAATGAATGGTTGTGAGCTACCATGTGGGTGCTGGAAGTTGAACTCAGGCGCTCTGCAAGAGAAGCAAGTGCTCAACTTAACCACTGCGTCATCCCTCCAGCCCCTCTGTGATCTTATTATCATATGGTTGGATCATTTAGGAGACAAAAAGCATATAAATGCTGGAACTTCCTACAATTTATACCCTCTGTCTTCACATTCTAATTTTTATAACATTTAGTAATATCACCACAATCTGAGAAGCTTCTCACGATGAGTAGCTAGTGCTGATTGTGATATTTTTGTGGAAATCTGTTCAGTAAACTGTTTTATTTCCTTTTATTTAAAATAGAAAAATATTCAGGTCAGCTTTGCCAATTTAGCATAAAATTCTAATTACTTATACTTCTCTAAACTAGAGCAATAGTAGAATGTGAGACTCATTGTGTCTCAGAATTTATGAAATTTCCTTATTTTATTTTTTACCCAAAGATTCGAGTAGGTTTTTATGTTTTTATTTCATTTTTAAGAAGCTATTACGAGTACAGTGCATTTTGATCACATCAATTTTATCCTCCCCACCCTACAATTCCTCTTGTGTGCCCCCAACACTTCCCTTCCAAGTCTGAGTCTTCTTAGTCTGTTGTTGTTATCTGTTTGTATACGGATATAATACACACACAAGAGTGTGTGTGCATCCTATTGAGTTCAATCACCCATTGCCCACATGCACATAGGAGGATGACCTCTGACACATAGGCAACCTACAAAAAACTCATCCCTGAAGAAATCGGACTCTTCCTCCCTCAGCAGCTGTTGGTTGCCTGTAGCTCCTCAACTATAACTCGGGTCTTATGAGCCCTTTTCCAACCAATACTGAAGTTTTGCCTGGTACAGTTTTGTACAGGACTAGGCAGTCAGCCATTCCAGATGAGTGTTCTGAGTATACATCTTCCATGGCCAGAAGACAGCTTTGTGACTGCCCCCACCCCCACCCCGGTTCCCTGCCTCTTACAATCTTCCATTCCCCCTTCCATGATGTTCCCTGAACTTTAGGGATAAGGGTTGTTTCCCATTTAGGAACAGATACCTCATGGTTGGCCACTTATTCTCTGCCCTTTGTAGTTCTGAGGGATGAGAACTAGGCTGATCCTAAAAGCCTGAGAATACTAAAACCTTTTTTTATTATTATTATTTTTCTGATGACCTTTTGACTTTGGTGTTTGAGTCTTATTCCAATATAGTAACGTGTCCTCAAGTTAATGGAGGGGTGCAATCAAAACAAAAAAAAAAAATAAAAAAAAAGCTACAAGGGGGAAAATGAGAAATTCATTTAAGTCAGAAAGTAGCATGTAGAAGAGTGTGTTTATGAGGATTACCTGGCAATTGACGTCTCAGCAACTGAAGCATAGATCAGGACTAGAAAGGAAAGACAGTGAGACAGTACCAGATGTGCCCTTTGAATGTGAATCTTGCTCTTGTGTTTCCTAGTCCGGAAGAAGATGATGCAGAAGCAGACGTTGTCATGGCACTCCAGTCCCCCTCTACTGGGCAAAGAACTGTGGGAGAAAAGAAAACTCACAGCATCTTAAATCAGAAGAAGAGGAACACAAGAGCCTTGCGTGCTGATGTGTCAGTAGTTCAAGTAAATGGTAAGTAGGTTGGCTGTCATGTGATATAAATGCTCTGTACAACCAGAAACTCACGCGTCATTCCCACTGCAAACACTAAGACATCATACGGGGAAAAAATTCAACCTAAAGATGAGACATTTCAAGTTTTTATTATTCGTTGATGAAAGAATGTCTGGCATTAGTCATCAAGTAGTTTTCCTGAAAGTAACTCATTGGAACTCACCTCTTAATAAAGATATCTTTACCACAGCAAGGTTAATCCAAGTCAGTCACTGCCCCCATGATTAAGCAAGTGAAAATGTTAAGCAATAAGTGATTTATGTTTGGGACCTTATACAAATAGAGACTCATCTGTATTCTTTAAAAATATAGTGAGTTTCAGTATTTGATGATGCTATGAAGGTTTTATTATTTTTATTCCTTATAAGTATTTAGAAGAAAAAAACTGCCTTTAGAGCCACTGGAACCATCAACTCTCTGAATTGACGAGAGTCTATCTTTATCAAGGTCCATCGCTATATCTTATATGCAATATCTACTTTAATTTGCATGCATTAATAAAATAGAGAAACTATTACATAGTTATAAAAATATTAAGGAATATAATAATTTAAAGGAGCAAGGATTCAAATCTAGATGTCTAATTTGTTGATGGGCATTACAAAAAGAAGTTCTGTGCTTAAACAAAAGTGAAAACTCTATGATCATTATCTCCTTTTGAAATTCATCCTTGTAGTGGCATATTTGAGACTCTGAGTGCAGGAAGCCAGGGATTTGCTTACCTAGCAGACAATGTGCTGACACAACATCTGCTTCCAGCAGACAGGTAGAGAGTTATCCCATAAACTCCACCAGAACCAGATTTAAGTGAGTAAAAACGAAAGATTTGTATTAGAAATAAAACAGAGTGCCCTGCCCGTTTGAGGGTCAAGCCGACTCTTTAAGAGGAAACCTCATTAGGAAATGAGAACCCAATGGATCAATAGACGCTTGCTCATAGGACATGAAGTCAGTTACTAAGACATAAAGCTATGGACCCCTCCCAGCCGGGAGGAAAGAACCTGTCAAATGTATGATCCATTTTCCTCCATTGTGAAATAATGGTCATTCTGAGAAGGTACATGACAAGGTGTATGTAATTCCAATAGTGAGTTAATTTTTCAGGAACTCAAGATTTCCCTGCAGTATTGGAAACGAGAGATGGAGCATTGAACGGCCCCTGACCACCAGGCCTTTCTGTTTCATATAGACTCAGCTTGTGTTTCATGTACTTTAATGATTATACTATATTTAAAGAGGGGATGTTCTTGTGGAGAACAATATTTGAGTTACTTAGTTATAAAGTCTCTTTGTCATTGTAGTATTCAAGCAATCACCTGTACCTGTGTGTGCATTTTTTTAACCTGTAAAAGTAAAATAATGCTTGTTCTTCTTGACTACACAAAAGTATGAGAAAACATATAGGAAAACAGAGAACATAATACAGCTTCTGAAACTATTGTTTCAGAAGATGTTGGATTGTACGCCCTTTGGAAATTGACGGGTGGGAGAAAGAGCTAGAACTGTAAAGGTTTCCGAATTTTCCAAATGCAGTGTTTATGAGCAGCTAGAAATAAGCTTTTAGTTCAGGGGTCTTCCATTCTTTCTCAAGAATCTGTGTTTTATTTTGATAAATAACTCTGAAATTTGGGTCCTTTATTAGACACCATGCTGTGAAATCAAAACTAGAATCAACTTCTTCCTGTTCCTGTGGTAAACGAGCTCACTGCCTGTATTAGGGGAAGTGTGCCTGACTTCCCATCACAGTGGTTGTAGTCTGCAAAATACAAATAATGCTAAATCTTTCTTACCTCCAAAATGTGTTGGAGATGGTCACTTTGAATTAAGTAAAAGTATTTTTATGTCTGCACTGGAAATGGAAAATATTTTATAAAAGTTGGAATTTTTAACTAGGAATTGACAGACAACCCCTGATTGTAACATTCTCCCTAAAAACAAAAAAAAATATTCTTAGAATTCTAATTACAGTGCCAGGCATGGAAGTGCATGCCTGTAATCCCAACATTCAAGAGGCGGAGGCAGGAGACTTGACAACTTTAAAGCCAGACCAGTCTATATAGTGAGTTTCAGGCAAGTCAGGGTCCTGGGGCAATATTGTCTCAAAAAGAAAAAGAAAAATGAATTCAGAGGAAAAAATACTATTTCCAACTACATTAGTGCTTATCCTAGAGTCATTATGGTGATGGATAATTTGCATTTTCCTGATTCTAAAGTGATGAGTGTCTAATAGAATTCTAATGTATGACTGTGAGCCTATGAATCTTACTTGCTGCTCAAAAACACCAATAACACAATTGTAAGTTGTTAGAATAAGGAAAAATAATTATTCTGAAATATAACCAAACTAAAGAAGACAGAGGCTCTGTCTTAGTTACTTGTCTATTGCCATGACAAAGCATAGCAGCAGACAGACAGGCATAACACTGGAGCGGTAGCTGAGAGCTTATACTGAGATTACCACCATGAGGCAGGGAGAAAGATAACTGGGAATGATGTATGCCTTTTGAAACCTCAAAGCCTGCCCACCCACTGCCCAAAGACACACCTCTTCCACCAAGGCCACACCTCCCCATTCTTCCCAGACAGTTCCATTAACTGGGGACCTAGGACTCAGATATCCAAGCCTATGGGTGCCATTCTTATTCAAACTACCAATATCATATTATTTTGTGTGGGTATAAGCACCCGATTTATCTAGGGAGTAGTATAGAGGGTGGGCAGAAGGAGGTTACAAATACAGGATAGTCGATTCTTCTAATTCACAGACTACCAATACAATGCATGATTTGATAGTCTGTGTTTTGTAAATGTAAAAAAGAATTATTGAGGGGGAAATTTGGAATTACTCTCTTTTTTGTGCCTTTTCCAGAGAATGACTGGATCCCCAGTTGTCATCAGTACACTGAGAGCATGTTTTCAACAGAGAAAAGGGTAGATAGCAAATGGCCACCTTTCCCCTGAATTCTAAGGAAGATAAAGACAAGCAACTTTCTTCCAGAGGACAGGGGAGGAAGCATTTGACTGGCGAAGTCTTCAGGGTCATCAGCCAGATGAGTCGTGTGTGGTCGCAGAACTAGTGAGGAGCGGCTGAAAGAAAAAGGAGCATGGAGGTTCACTTAGGCCTTCCATCTGTGACACAATTTCAATGCGTCACTACAGACAAATTAAATTCCTTCTTTCTGTGTTTTGTTTTGGCTTTAGTTGAACAGGAACCTTACAAACTACATGAGCTAGAAACTGAGCTGCTTCTATAGGCTAAGCACTAAAGCAATCGCATCTTCATTCTGAACTCATTCTTCCTTATGCTCCTGCTTCATAGGGGTCATTGTCACCAGCTACTCACAAAGGACTTCTAAGGAGTTGGCACCTTCTTATTTTCCTCAAATGGAAATAGGACGCAGAGACTAATTCAGAGAAATATGGCCCTCTAGTTTGTCACTATCTTGTTGAGTCAGCCTCTCTAACTAAACCACCAGCACAACTGTAAGGCAACTTTGCACATCATATTCCCATCTTACCAAACTATAGTGTGTAAGTGAAAGTTTTACATATTTACTAATAACAACATGCTATTTCATATGAGTGTAAGAGTTTGCTTCCTTTGTCAAATTTAAAACTGTTGGAGATTGGCCAAATTTAACCTTAAAGTTGACCTTTCCCAATATTCAGCTTATATTATATAATAATACACCATAGTTTTATTTTCTTTTTTCTTTTAGTTTGAAAAAGGGTCCATCTGGGGCTTTTCCTACCTTAGCCTTTTCAATGTTGGGATTAAAGGCATACACTGTTGTGTCTATTTTATATTTTTTTTTTAAAGCCACAGCATTTAATTAGTTAGGAACATGTCTGAGAAGTACTTTAAACACAATTTATGCTTGAGTTTTTCAAAGTCTTTTCATCCTAAACGCTCTAAGAAGAACAGGATTATATGAAATCTTAAATAAACAAAAGAGACAAAAACAGACATGTTTTGGTTGAGGAAAAGTGTGATGCCTAGGGGCCTATCTACTTACTCCCTCTCCTCATCCTAAAGTGGAATCCAAGAGGGTTTACCTGGCACTCTTGGGAAATGACAGCTCTGCATTAGTGTAAATCATTTGCGGAATTTATTCATCCACTGCTTTTATCTGACACACTGAGTAAGAAATTGCCCAACTAATTAGATTTGCCTTTTACATCAAATGTATACGAGAGAGCCAGTGTCCTAACTGGTCTGTGCACTCAGCTGTCTAGAGTTTATGGTCAGTGACCTCTGGTGATTCTTGGCTATTACAATGAACCTGTAGAACATAAAGTCTTCACTTTTCTTCTGTTTGACTTTAAATGATGTATTTCATCATCAGGGGAGCTAACTGTCTAAGCATGTAAGTCTAATTAGCTTATAAAACAGTCTCAAATTCCACATATGCAATTGTATCTTTAATTTCTCATCTACATTCACATTTTCATTTGTAAGAATATAATTGGGCAGCTGGGCGGTGGTGGCGTACGCCTTTAATCCCAGCACTTGGGAGGCAGAGCCAGGCGGATCTCTGTGAGTTCGAGACCAGCCTGGTCTACAAGAGCTAGTTCCAAGACAGGCTCCAAAACCACAGAGAAACCCTGTCTCAAAAAACAAAAAAAAAAAAAAAAAAAAAAAAAAAAAAAAAAAAAAAAAAAAAAAAAAAAATTGGGCAATAGATAGATATGTGTTTTTCTAGTTTTAAGACTAAGAAAGTTTAAAAAGACATTTCTCATTTTTAGTAAGTGGGCCTACTTTTCTAATTTCTTTAAAAAAAATCTTTGAGACCTGCTTTCTACTGAAATTAAAACAATTCAAGGAGATCCAAAGGGAAGAAATTAACCCATTTTCTAGACTGACCACTGAAAATATAGCATTATTTTCCTGCCTGGCAGTGACATCAATTTGTTTCAACTTAATGTGGCATGAATTTTGAAGGATTTTACATATGTGGTGAAGGATTTCATCAGTAATCCATGCTTTCGATTCTTTGTGTTGCAAACACCTGTACTATTTTTTGCTTATTTATTCATTTTCTATTTTCATTATTTTAGAACTTCATTACTTATCATTATTCATGTACCTTTTAATATCTTTAATATAGTGTCAAAAGGTGTGCCAGGAGCTGGTCATATTACTGTGACTAAGACATGATCTTCTTTAAAACCTAATTCCAAAGTAAAAGAAGCCAGAAATTAATTGGAAATTATAAATATAATGGGGCAGATGATTTAAGAAAATATGCAGTGCTTTAAGATCCATCAGAGTTACGTCATCTGGCCTTGTTGAATCAGAAAATAATCCCTAAAATGTCAGAGAAGAGAGGCCATGAATCAAGAGACTGGTAGTAGGTGTTCTGGACATGAAGACCAGGAAAGTGAAGGCGTCATCATTTCCTACAAATGGAAAGAGTCTTCTTGACTGTGCCAAAGGCTTGGGACCTGAGTGTGTAGGAAAGAGATGTGATTCACAGTCATCAGCGGCCAGAATCACCTGGAAAGATGTCTACCTCATTTGGAAGGCAACGAAAGTTTGCACATTTCAGAAAGCCCATTCAATGCCCAGTGCAGAAACAGAATGTAGAAGACAGGCCAAGGAAATGGTGTGGGAGCTAGTCTAGATGTTCAGATGAGGACAGTGGTTGGTCCAGTGAGAGCCATGGTAGTGTGCTGGAGATTTCTGAAACAGCCATGTTTGGAGGATAATCAACACAAGTAGAGTGATTTTTCTTTTCTTATAATTATTTGTTGGAACAAGACCCAGCCCACTATATTTTTTAATAATATTTATTTATTATGTATACAATAATCTGTCTGTGTGTATGCCTGCAGGCCAGACGAGGGCACCAGACCCCTTTACAGATGGTTGTGAGCCACCATGTGGTTGCTGGGAATTGAACCCAGGACCTTTGGAAGAGCAGGCAATGCTCTTAACCTCTGAGCCATCTCTCCAGCCCCCCACTATATTTTTTTTAACAATAGGATCTTATATAAGTTTTTGTCTTCACAGAAACCCAAGCACCAAAGCAGCCTCTGATGCGATGAAGTGCATGTTCATTCTTGTCAATGGTGGATGTAATGTTTATATGGAAACATGGAAACCTCCATCCTAAAGAATGAATGACTAGTTGTGATGCACTAATCCTTGCACACCTTAAAATGTAGTCACTCTAGTAGACATCAAAGGTGCTTCCACCAAACAGGCCACTGCTGATCTGGCTTAACAGAGTTGTCCTTCTGAAGAGGACTCCTGGTAACAACACTGCTGGACCACCTACAACTGCGAAACAATAACCTTGGTGAGGGCTCCCAGAACAACCGGATAACTGGCAATTGATAGTTCATGGGGATGAAGCTGTCAATAGTTTATAACTTAGTGAACAACATATAGTCACATATACAATGGTTGGACTAAGCGATGAATGTGTCAGTGCGAAAGAAAAACAAAAATTTCATAGTGGTCATGTTTTAAAAACGACAAATGCGACGTCTGCCCTGCAGTATTCTGTGGCATCAAAAACTAGACAGACATTCCTTATAAACGTTTTCACCTTTTTCAGATTGTGGCAAACGAGCTATCCCGTTAATTGCCAACAGAATCGTGTCCGGAAACCCTGCAGCTAAAGGTGCCTGGCCTTGGCAAGTTTCTCTTCAGCGCAGCAACATCCATCAGTGTGGCGGCACCTTGATTGGGAACATGTGGGTCGTCACGGCAGCACACTGCTTCAGAACGTGAGTTGTTGAACTTAAGTCAGCCCCATGTTGCTGAAAACCAGGAGCATTTCCATAGTCTGAGTGCCAAAGTCCCAAATATGACTGAAGTATAATAAGTAAATCTTTCTGATCCTCTTCTAAAGTGATGCTCTCCTTGCATACTTATTCGGAAAGTTTGGTAGGAATAGAGTAGTAGTGAATATTGTACCAGTACCTGTAGCGCACCGTGCCCATCTGCACTCTAGGCGCTGCAGTACAGTTTGTGAACCGGGCAAGGGGCTGGAGATCGAAACACACAAAGACACACAGACAGAGACACACATCATCCTTGAAGCAGGAATGCCCCCTTTATTGTGTACCAGAGCCGCTTACACAGAGATCCTTAACTGATAGCCACGCCCCAGCCAAACGCACCAGAAACCACTCTCCTGCCATCAGGAACTGCTGAGGGTCTCGTGCTCAGAGCAGCTGCAGGCACTCAGATCAGGGGAAACCAGAAATTCAGGATCTGGGGATGGGGAGGGGGTTCACAGCTCCCAACAAATACCCATTAATTAAGTCTTCAGAGTTTTAATTGAAGAAATTACAACAAAGTAGAACTTACTCCAACACAACACATGTACTAACAAACGCAGCTCTTTTTTACTCTCTACTTAACGTGAGTGCCTGCTCCCGTCAAGCACTTCGCCAGTCTCAGTGCTGCTCATAAACTGCAATTGGAATCTGCAAGGAGGCAGGAAGTACGGAACTGTTCCTGGAGACCAGCCCAGGTCAAGTTCACAGCACGGACATTAATTTGGTGACTACCAAAGTTTGATTATGATTCCACATTGCATCTGTAAAAAGCAGAGCCAGAATATGTGACCTGTGAAACCTAAGCTGATCAATTCTTACCGGGAGAGTAAATTGTGAACTGGGCGGCACAGTTAAAGTTAACTGGGGTGGCAACGGGCAGGCAGGAGTAAGCTGTTTGCTTGCCTTCCCGTTCAAAGTGCAGTTCATGGAGCCGCAGCACCCACATCGCCTGGGAATTCGTCAGGAATGAAAATGGTTTAAACCCTATCCCAGAGCTACAGGCTCAGGAGCTGGGTTTTAATCAAAGCCCCTAATCTTATGTGTGCACATTAATATTTTAGATACGTTGTCCTACATGATGAAATCTTATTCCGAGAAATCTCTAATACAGATAATAGAGTCATATTAACTGATCTGAAAGTACTGTCATGTTTTTCGAGAAGACTTAGGGAGTCAAGAAAGAACTTGTCAGCAGGCAAAGCTGCTCAGAGATGAAAGGGATGCCAAGTTGAACAAAGGGATTCTAAAGTGGAGCACGCCTCCATCTGCAGGCGCGATCAAGCAGAGGCAAGGAAGAGTTGACAGCGGTTTTGTATCAACAATTAGCACAATTGTTAGGCTCTGTGGCGCTACAGGCACGCGATTAGGTGCTTCAGACTTCTTTATGTAATCCTTCAAACCCTCTCTCCATATCAGCCTGATGGGGCGCCCTTTCACGGAGAGGCGAGTATAGCAGTTCTCAAAAGCACAATCTGAAATTGAGTTAACACAAGGCTTCATTACACGGAAGACAGGGATGTCCTAGCATCAAAAGATATGCATATGTAAATGAGACCACATAAGCCCCAGTTTTAAAACTTTAAAAGAATTCCAGTATCCCTTAAATATCCCATAAGCATTTTCTCTCTCCTGTAAGACCCTCTGGCACCCACCCCCGTCTCCAGCATCATCTTCCGCCATTCTTCCTCTGGTGTCTGAAACTGAATCTCATGTGGCCCAAGGCCCTCAGATGCTTCCCTGGAAACTTGTTGTCCTGACTGTCTCATAGCTGACAACTCTCCCTTCACTGGTGTAAAGTTATTGTACTAAAATAACAATAATAAAAAAGAGCCTTCCAAAGCTGCATAGCACTTGTACCTTATACATTATCCTGTTTTATTTTATTAATCATCTTTAGAATTTGTATTATTTATCAACATTTTAATTTATTTTATATTCTCCTTTCTTGAAGCATAACACTCATGGGAACCGAGTGTTTCTGTCTTGTTCACTTCTTTGTTCTTAGCATCTTGATAATATTAGGCATATGCATGGTTAATAAGGATTTGTTAAGGGAACACTTCTAAAACTCAATACTTAAATATAAAATTCATTTCCGATATGCTATTTGTATGTATTTTATACTTAAATCATGGGCAACAGACATTTAAATGAAATGAAACTGTAATTGCAAACAAGTGTTATTGAGAGCGGTATTTTTTTTTTCCTGGGGTAACCTAACTCCATGCAGCTGACTAATATAAACGATGTAGTTAATGAATTCTGTGTGGCTCATGTATGCTGCTAATCTTTTCCAGTAATTCAAACCCACGCCAGTGGACTCTTAGTTTTGGAACAACAATAAACCCTCCCTTAATGAAAAGAGACGTCCGAAGAATTATTATGCACGAGAGGTACCGCCCCCCAGCAAGAGACCACGACATTGCTCTTGTGCAGTTTTCTCCCAGAGTCACCTTTTCAGATGAAGTACGCCGAATTTGTTTGCCGGAACCTTCTGCGTCATTCCCACCAAATTCAACTGTCTACATCACAGGATTTGGAGCACTCTACTACACTGGTGGGTACCTCTGAACACAGAGCAGATGTCTCAGTCCTTAGCAGAGGAATTTCATCGCCTGTATTAAGTGAGATCTCGTTTTACAAAGTGCCAAAAACCCAACACAAAATAGAAACAAAGCAAATTTGGTCCTTGGAATTCAAGAGTCCTGCATGAGAAATCTGGCTTAGATACAGGTCGAACACAAACTTTAGATGGTTTTTGCTACACCTTAGACCTCTAAATCCTTGTACCTGAGTTCCACTTTTCCCTAGTTCATTGGAAAGGACTCTGGCGCCACCCAGTGGCAGAAGTAGTCTATACGAGGTCCAACCATGAGGAAATTCTAAACCTTATCTGATTTGGCCAGGCGTTGAATACTCTCCCTTTTAATTATGCCAAAGTCAATCTGATTAAAGATATTATTTCTATGAAAAATTTCCCAGAACTTTTCCATGTAACTTAAAACTAATCACGAAAATGATTTCCATTGCACTCAGAGAGTCCAACCCGTACGTGGGGAAAGAGAAATAACACAAGAATATTGGGGGCTATGCTGGACAGTTCTACCAAACAGAGAGCCGTGATTTCCTATTATTCATTGAGAAAGACAGTTCCAGAATGTTTGTGATATTCTTTGTTTTCCTCTGCTTCTGCCTGCTTAGGATGTGGATGCCTAAATTTGTTCAAGACAAATTTATTTATAAGCCATTACACTGTGATGTAATGCAATTATATTCATGGTAGCTCTTTGCAAATGCATAGGACTGGATAAACATATAATGTAGGCAGTGTTTTATCAAGCCACGAAACAATACCATGTTTGTCATACCAAGAAACAATGACAAACAAGCATGTAACATTTGTGGGGACAATCTGAAATCCATAAACATAAAGTCCATTTAAAAAAATAGGATATATTCTTTAACAATAAAAACTGGTTTTGAGGACTCAAGAAGTTAACAGCACCGACAGCTCTTCCAAAGGACCCAAGTTCGGTTTCCAGCACCCACATGATGGTTCAGTCATGTAATTCCAGCTCCAGGGGATGCAGTTCTTCTGAACTCCATAGACACTGCATGGATGCTGTGCACAAACATATATGAATGCAAAACTTCTATATACATAAAATCAAAATTAATAAAAAATAAATATATTATTTTGGAAGTAAAAAATTCAAGGATTCTCTAGAAAGGAAACCAAATGGTCATCCTGCTTAGAGAAGTATTTATTAAAACTGGTAATACAACAACCGTCATTAAATGAACCAGTTTTATGTGTTGCTTTTGTTTGGAGACGGGTCTCACTGGATAGCCCTGTCTGTCCTTGAACTGTCTATGTAGACCAAACTCATCTCAAACTTGCAGAGACACATGTACCTCTCTGCCTTTCAAATATGGGGGTTAAAGGCTTTTAGCTAGAATTTTTTTTTTTCTCTAGCACAGTTCACCCTAACCGCAGTCTGCATAAACAACTTTAGAGTGAAGAAGACTGGAGAAGAACCCGCTCGCTTCAGTCCATCTAAGAAATACCTATGGAAAGTTCTGAGACCGCTTTGTTTTTTCTTCAGGGGAATCTCAAAATGAGCTCCGAGAAGCCAGGGTGCAGATCATAAGCAATGACGTGTGCAAGCAACAGCAGGTGTACGGCAATGAAGTCAAGCGTGGGATGTTCTGCGCGGGATATCTGGAAGGGATTTATGATGCCTGCAGGGTAGGTTGCGGAGAGAAAATCACCAAGGTCACTAAGCTTTTTGCCCAGTCCAGGAAATAGTTTATGTTCTTTATGCTAGCGCAGCACAGACATTCTGACATCTCCAAATGTGTAACCGCCATAGTATGTAAGTACCTTAAGTGTTTTATTATTAAACCACCTGAAACGAGTAAAGAATTTCATCGATGCTATCAAACACGACATTTAAATGTCTTAATAACCAGGAACTCACAGGATAAGAGGATAGTAATGTCTTTGTGCACAACAGGTGCATGTATGTATTAAAAGGCAACAACCATGTACACTGAACTGTAGAACACACTGGGTGGAAGAAGCCATTTCCATTTGACAACATTTGGAAAGGAAGAATAAGTTTTCTCCAGTGGAACCTCACTGGCACAAACCACAGTTAAGGGTAGACTACATGCCCAGCAACAGACAGCCAACACATTTCTCATTTGTTAATTTCTTTTATTTGTCTGTTTGCTTTCTTAAGCTAGAAAGAAGGCTTGGAGTTGGAAGGGTAGGAAGTGGGGAGGATCTGGGAGATGGAGGAGGGGACACCATGATCAGAATGTGTTCACTGTACAAAAAAAGAATAATTTGTTTTCAATTAAAACAAAAAGAAATCAGTGGGTGGGTTCAGGCAACACCTTTCTGGAGAATTTGACTCGCTCATAAGTAATATTTATGAGACAAGTATCACTGGTAAGAACTAGAACTCATAAGATCTGGTGAAGGGTAAAGGGTTAAATATCCATTGCCACGACAGAAAAGCAATATGTGCCATCTAGTTGAGAAAAAAAAAACAGCAATGAAAATAATTGATAAAGAGTTAAATACAATAAGAAAGGTTTAAGCCATAAAATGGTACCCCTAGGAAACAGACTAGATAAGATCTACACATACACTAGTAATAAAATAAGTGATTCATCAAACTTTTGTAAGTGATAAACAGTTTAGCTAATTGTTTTTCTCTTGTTTATTCTCAGGGTGATTCTGGGGGACCATTGGTTGTAAGAGGCAATAAAGACACTTGGTATCTCCTTGGAATTGTGAGCTGGGGAGACAACTGTGGTCAAAGGAACAAACCCGGAGTTTACACACAAGTGACTTATTACCGGCGCTGGATTGCTTCAAAAACGGGTCTCTAACAGGCTACAGACACTAAACCAAATAGTAGCAGGCAGGTCATATGTATATAAGAATTCAGACATTCATTTGGTGGCACTGGTACAATGAAGCGAGATTAGATAGCTGGACCTAGCAACATGAAACACATGTGATTCATTTCAGAATCACTTATTTGTGAAGTGATGGGTTGTTTTGTCATGCAGCAAAGATATTCATATCTTTAAGCCAAGTAAATTGGACTGTACATGAGACGCATTGTGTAGGTTTGAAGATAGCCTAGGAGACTTTTAGAGTGTGTTTTTCCTGGGTGCCTCCTCAAGTGAAAGACTTTCTGAACTCTCAGAAATCTCAAGGTGCTCATACTATGCCCATGATATCTCCAGAGCTCGCCAACTCCTCTTGTCCTCTTTACTTTCCTCCTCTGTTTTCACGAGCTTTCTTTCACAGACAACACGTTTGCTACTTCTAAGTGCATATAAGGAAACTTTATAAAAGAAGATTGTATGCAACCATAAAAGTTTGGTGGCAAACTAAAGCAACGGTAGTCAAACCTTTGCTGGAAAACCTTTCTGATTTTTCTATGATTTTAAGACACACACACACACAACCATGTGAACGATAGTCACATCACCATCCCCACTGCATAGATATATGTAAAAGAAATAGCGATTAATGTTTTATATAAAGGAATTGTTTACTCAATATGTAACTTTTGTCATGAAAAATTGAGAGGGTATGCTAATTTTGTGAGCATTCTGTTCCAGGATAGGTGTACAAGAATTTGACATTTTGAATGTGTATTTACATATTTTGGCCGCCAGAGGGAGATATTGTCCAGTATTACCTTAGGTCAAATGCCTGAACACAATTGAGAATTTAACACATAAAAGAAATCTGTTTCTTCTTTTTGTTTTTCTTTTCTTTTCTTTTTTTTTTTTTTTTGTTTGTTTTTCGAGACAGGGTTTCTCTGTGGCTTTGGAGCACGCCTTTAATCCCAGCACTCGGGAGGCAGAAATCTGTTTCTTTACAGAAAGAAAATTTCTGATGCCTTTGTTTCTGCCACCAAGTACACCAGAGGTTCATGCTTTGATTATTTCAATCATGGAACCTTATATATTCTCTCTCAAACAAAACAACAAACAAACAAACAAACAAATAACTCATGCAGGCATCAAGAGAATGAGGTTACAGTGCCCATAATAGAATTAGATAAAGTTCTCTTGGAATATTTCTTGGATTTTGAGATGTATGTGTTTCTAAGTCAAGATATATAAACAGCTTGATAAAAATTGGAAATTTGCATCCTTGGCTGTCAAAGTCACATGTACCCTTTCCTTACAAAGTTTCTTTATGGCTGCTGTATCCACTATATCAGGAAACCCATGACATTTTTCACTAAGTGTTATTGATTTGAACTAGGAAACTTACTGTAATGATTTTAAAGAATTCTCAGGTAGCTGCTGTCAATGATCTGAACTCACTTCAAAGCAAAGTTGCTCCTTCACACACACACACACACACACACACACACACACATTTCCACATAAATTTTCTGTGTTGTGGTGGTAAGATATGATTTTGCTTCTAATGCTAAGATTCAGGAAGTCTTGGAGTTGTAAATGATATGTTCTAAACTGTCTGCTGCAGCATTTCATTTGGGGCTGTGTGGGAAAAATACTGTTTTACCATTTTAAATCTAATAAAGTTGGTGATCAGAGCATTCCATAAACAATATCATGGAGTCTCTGTTCGGATCATAGTGTGAGTCTTTCAACTCTTGTTAAGAGATATATCCGTTAAAATAAGGAATCTAAGATCATTCTTAGCTACTTAGTCAGCTGGCATATGTGAGGCTTTGTCTCAAACAACAACAAAAACATCCAACAAAAGAATTATACTCTCAATAAAGGACTGGGCAGGAAAAGAGACCCACACACAGACCCAAGGTGGGCCAACCTAGGCTCCCAGGAGGAAGTATGGTTGTGCCCAGTGTCATGACAGGTCAAACCAGGATAAAAAAGACCCACAAGCATGTCTGGGGAGGTCTACCCGGGACTCCAAGGAGAAAACACAGTCCTGCCCAGTGTCTTGCAGCACCAAGCAGATAGGGACTATTATGGTCACAAAATGTGTGGTCTGGTGTAGGGGGGAGAGAGAGAGAGACAGAGACAGAGAGACAGGGGCAGACAGAGGCAGAGACAGAATGGTTCATGACCTGAAGAGTTGAAAGTGGCAATGAGTGGGCTAAAGAGGGTGGCTTCATCGCCACACTAAGGACCATGGTGATGCCTCGTCCTGGACTGCTGCAGAGGCCCATGTCTGGATTCATAGCCCTAATGACAGCCGCCGCTGTCTGTGTGGGTGGAAATGGTTCCTGATAACACCAGGCCAAGAAGATAGGGTTGTACAGAGTTGATCCCGCCCCTCACTGACTGCCAACACTGGGGAAAATCGGTTCTGCCCCTCAGGGCTGAAGCACTGAGAAGAGAGGGTCTTACCCCTCACCTGGGCGGTATAGTAGAGTTGTCCCTGGTAGCAGGAGCATTGGTGAGCAGACCCTGAGGGCACAAAAATGGGAGAGCTGGTCACGACCCTCTTTATCTGTCATACTGCACCATGGGTCAGGTAGGGAGGGATGTACCCCTAACCCCTCACCCTGCACCCCTCACCATCTTTGAGAGATGAGAAAGCTGACCCTCCTCTCACCTGCTGTAGCACTCAGGAGGTGGGGCCTGTTCCTCCCCTGGGCACCAAAATAGAGCTGACTGCCACGTCCACAGCAGTGACTGCCGTGTAGTGACAAAATGCCTCTGCGCTGGCTTTCGCCTGCTGAAGGATTGGGGTTAGAGCTTCTTGGAGCGAAGCCCCAGGTGGTCCCCCTGGCAATCAGCAGTCCAGAGAGGACCTGATGCCCTAGGCAGATCTCATATCTGGAGATGGCCTTGAGAGCGAGCCCTCCTAACACCTTGCTTGATCTTTCTCTGTATTTCTTAATTTTCTTGTTTATAGCTGACCGCTTACCAAGAGATCAAAGTACGTCCTTGGCTTGGCTCCACCGTTCATTAAAGCAGTTCTTGAGGAACTGAAGTATGCCCCATGCCACATGAGCCTGGGAAACTTTATTATTTATGAAACAGAA